GCCAGGGAGTGGCCTTTTTATTGGGGAACAAGAAATTCAGGGGAGAATTCCATCCAATGAAGGTTGAGCCCCACCCCCCACTCCAAAGGCAGGATTGGTCAGTGGTCAGTCACACCCCCACAGGGACGGGCTCTCTCATCAGGAGAGGGCCAGGAAAGCTCCGACAAAGTTAGCCAGAGCGCCTCAGACCCAAACCAGGAGTTGCCCAGTCACGTGTGAGAATGGCTCTCCACAATACAGCAAAAAAAAAAAAAAAAAAAAAAGTTGTTTTTGTCTTTTTTTTTTGTTTGTTTTCCAGTTTTGGGGGGGCTAAATACTAGGACTGAGTCCAAAGACACTACACCACTGAGCTCTATCCCCAGCCCATATTTTTATTTTGAGACACAGTCTCACTAAGTTGCTGAAGCTGGCCTTGAACTTGGCAATCCTCCCTCAATCTCCCCAGGATCTGGGGCCCAGCCTTGTGGTGACTAGTAAATCTTAAGTGTTCTAAAGAAGGTTGTCTATAGTTAACCTCTTTCTTTAGTCCCAATAGTTTTATTAATCTTCCTATGTAGATTAAATACTAAAGATTTCCAATTAAATACTGTTAAGTATCTCAATCCTTTCAAACTATATTTTGTTAATATAAAGTGTTAAATGTTAAAGTTAACATAAAGTTAGTTTTCCCTTGAATATTGAAATAGATTCTAAAATATTTATTCAGATGTTCATTTGTTATTAAACTTTACAGAACACTGTAATATCTATTTTACTAATGTATCCAGTCTTTCATTCCAATTTATGTGGCATGTTGTTCTGAGCCTTCTGAGTAAAAGTTAAATCCCTGTGAGATATGTACTAATAGTACTAATAGGCTACCTATCTACTTTGACTGGATGACCAGAAAGCTCAAAGCTGAATTTTATGTTCAACTGTCTACAGCTATCCTTGGCCCTCGATTTTGATACAATACTTCTTCTATCTTTCTATTTTCTTTATCACAGGCTCCTAGTTCTCATTTTGGAGGGTTTTGTCTTTGAGGTGCTGGGATTGAACCCAGAATCTCATGCACACTAAGTATGTGCTCTACAACTGAGCTTCAACCCCAGCCCCTCAATTCATTTTTAAGGATGAGTCCCATGATATGTGTTTTATTGAAACCACCTCAAAATCTTTTGTGGAAGCCGAGGATGGGGGTATAGCTTAGTGGTAGAGCATGTGCTTATGTACAAGGTCATGGGTTTGATACCCAGCACCAAAAAGAAGAAAAAATATTTCAGAAAGTTATATAAACAATTCTTCTATATTACTATTCCTCTTGTTATTACTAACAAGGATGGAAGCAGCAATGGAAAACTGTCTCCAAAACTCCCTTCTCTATACAGTGCATGTGCAATTTACCCAGAACAGTCTCTTTAGTTTCTAGTATTCAAAAACTCCTAAAGTTGGATGAAATACTCATTTGGGTCCTAACATTGAATGAAATACTCATTTGGGTCCTAACATTTTTGTGCAATATTAATTTTTTTGTGTTCACTGTTTTTGTGTACGTTGTCTTAAGCTCTTCAAAGACTATGAGATGCTGGTAGGAAGAGAATTTATCTTACACATCTTTTTATTCTAAGCAGCATCAAAACAAGCCTTTTACACTGCAGATGCGCATTAAAGATATATCCTATTTATGGAAAAAGTAAGTCAATTTTCTTAAAAATCCACTAGGTAAAGCCATGTGGGAGGCAATAGGCTGAAAGTAAAATTTCTATCTTAACACAGTTTACAAACTCAAAGAATGAAGATATGTAAATTATCTATACAATCAATAGGGATTGCATATATGTAAATACAAAGAAAGTTCCTGGAGTGGCTGCATTTGGCAGGATTAGTCTGAGAACACTGAGGCTTTTAGTCAAGCTAAAAGGAATAAGATCTGTCCATTCAGCCACAAATAATGACTCCAAAGAGGTACAAGGCAATAGTACTCAAAGAACAGCAAGAACATTTCTATGCACAGTAAGTAAAGAACAGCAAACATCATTAGACAATGAAGGTGAGCTTTGGGGATGGCTGGCAGAGAGCCTGGAGGCAGCAATGGAAAACTAGAGCCTGGGCTTATTTAAAGATGATTTAATAAGGTACACTTTTTGGAAAAGGATTCACTACTGTGACAAGAATAGATCAGAGTGGAAAACCAGAATAAAAAACCTGAGCATACATGCTAGAGGTATATAGCAGATAAGACAAATACCCTGGGACAACCCATTTAAGCTCAGTGGTACATTTCAGTGACTGAGTGTCAGAATACAAGCACTTAAATCGGAGCCTTTTCAGAAAATCTTTCAATTAATCAATCAACACCCAATCTCACTCTCTCTCTCTCAATTAATGTGTCTGAGACAGTATAACAAAATGTCTCGGAGAAACTGCCCTGGAGTCTGACTCCTAGGTTAAGACTTCAGCTCTGACACTCATTAGGTGTGTGACCTCAAGCAATCTTACTTATCCAAGTGTAAAACAGGGAGACAAGTTATACCTGCCTCTTAGAGATATATAAAATGCCTAGCAGAGTGAGTAGCACAAGAAGTTCTCAGCCAATACTATTAAGAAAATGTTCAGTAAGGTATGAACCCCTTGCATTCATGTCACAGTCCTCCAGGGACACTTGATGCTCAGGTTGGGAGTCATTTTCCTAGAAAATAAATAAAAAGCATAGAAGAGTAATAAATTCCATCAGCAAGTATTTATGTGGCAGCTCCAGGACTCAGCACTGCGCTAAGTGCAACAACAGGAAGTCAATGCAACGCTAAGCAAGCAAGAAGACAATGCTGAGGGCAGACATTGGAGGGAACTGAGGAAAGGACACTGGGGCAGAGAACAGGAGACTGACAGAGAAGAAGGGTTTTTTCTTGTTTTGTTTTGTTTTGTTTGTTACTGGGGATTGAACTCAGGAGAGCTTTAACACTAAGTCACATCCTCAGCTTCTTATTTTTTTATTTTCAGACAGTGTATCAGTAAGTTGCTTAAAGTCTTTTATTGAGGCTATCCTCAAACTTATCCTCCTGCCTCAACCACCTGAGTGGCTGGGATTACAGGTATGTGCCAAAGAGCCTGGCAAGTGTCTAAAGCTGGAAATGAGTCAAAAAATTCTAGTTAGGGTATGTTGAGCATGGTGCTTCAGGAAACACTCCTTCACACACACATACCTCTGGTGGCAGCCTGCAGGACAAAGTAGAGTGATGGGCCACTTTCCTAGCCACTCAGTACCAGTCAAGTGACGACTCTCAAATGTTTAAATAATGTTCCATTTCTAACCTGCACTGACTGACTACTAGTCACTTAAATTGGTATAAGCAATACACATAGCACATTAATATCTTTACCAATTTCTCAACAATTCTAAAAAGATTGCTACTTTCAAGAGATCATGTAAATTTAGCTAAAAGTTGAGCTCTGAAGCTAGTCTGAGTTTTTGGAAAAAAGGAATCATCTGTAGAAAGGTCTCCAGTATTACAAGAGAAAGGACAGGGCTGCAGGGATAGATCAGGGGTAGAACATGCATACAAAGTCCTTGGTTTCATAACCAAAATATAGAGAATGAGACAGTAAGTAGGCCCTGACCTGTCTTACTGCCTGATTTTATGGGATTTCTACCTCAACTTCAGATCCTTCTCCTAAGGACCTCTCTTACCAGTTTTGAAACACTTGTTTTAATTACTTTACACAAAACAAGATGCACAAATAACTAGAAATTAACCAGGATACAGAAGCTGAAATTGTCCAATATTCTGAGGCTGTGTATCTGACCAGTTTCAATTTCTCCTTCTCTAATGTTAGGGAGCTTTGAAAGTAACTTCACTCCAAATAGACACTTTCCAACTGGCTGACCTCAGGCAAATCAAACTCCTAAACCTCAATTTCCACATCTACAAGGTGGGAATAATAGGGAGTTCATTGTGAGAACCAGTGAGTTATTATTAGTCATGTAACTGGAATATAAAGAGCACAATATGTATAAGCTATTATTATCATCTTTTACATCTTCCTTATTTAAGCATTATATTAGTCACCCCCCTACCGGAAGCTATCCAGGGACACAGAATATCCCATTTTTTCTATAGGAATACATGAATATGACTATTTCATCACCCTTGAAGCTTGATAAGACACAGTGGTCTGCTCCACCTGTTGCAATACCTCTAGGAAATGACTGTCACAAACTAGGCACTCTCAGCCTGCAACATAAGGTCCCAACATTCAGGACAGCTCCACCTGATTACCCCACTGAAGGAATTCATTTCTTTGGAAATAAAGGCTAGCATTAGTTTGGGACTTGTCCGTGAGAAACCTGCAAAATGTGATCATGAATCTCAGAAGTTCGTGTGATTTTAAAAGTTTTTGTGAGTTCTCCCCTTACCCAGATATTTCCTAGTATGTGACTCTACAGCACTACTTTCTTTTCTATCTGGAAATCTGGTCAGCGGGTACCAAGAGAGCAAGGCACCCCCTTCTCTGCTTCCCAGGCATTAGAGTTAAGTAGGATTGGTTCTTTCCCCTCCTTGGGCACCAAGATCTGCCAAGAACGAAATTCCAATTGCACCCTCAGGATTGGAGATACAAGCACGGCGGTCACCAGGTGGGCGAGGGTAATCCTGCCCAGGTATGAAGATCACACCCCGTGCGGAACACAAGCTCATAACCCCCAGAGGAAGATCAGAAGTCTAGGAGACATTTCATACGCTCCACATGCAACACACTCCCCGCGGCGCATTGCTGTCCCACCTCCCGGCAGCAGACACCTTCCGGGACGCCCAGAAGGCTGTTCCTGGAGACGCAGGCAGCCCGGAGCCAAGGGAGCGCACGCACACGTGCCTGGCAGCCCCAGGCCCGCTCGCCCCCGCCTCCGCACTCACCTGGCCGGTGATGCCAGTGATGAGCGCCACCTTCCTGAACTTGCCCATCTCGCCGTCCCCGGAACCCCGGGGGCTAGGGCAGCGTGCCGGGGCGTGTGCCATGTCGCCGCGGACAGGCGGGCGTGCGGCCCAGGGCGGGAAGGGCGGAGCAGAGCAGAGCTCGGGCGGCAGCGCCGGCTAGGATGTTGGGGGTGTGCCGTGCGCAAGCTGCCTCGTCGGGCTGCAGGCTGAGGGAGAGCGCACCGCGCTGCCGGCCGCCACAGTCTGACAGGGGCGCGCGGGAGGCTGGGCGGGGAGGGACAGGGGCGGGCCTAGGCGGGCCCGGCGGCGGGGCTGCGGCCTGGCGGGCGCCGCGTCATCCGCGTCAGCCCGCTACGCTGCCGCGGCGCCTGCGGCAAGCCACGCCTCTCGCCGGCGGCCGCGCGGGAGGGGCGGGGCTTGTCGCCACCTCCTCGGGTAAGAGCAAGGCCGCGGAACGTCGCCGCCTCGCCAGCGGCGGGGCAGCGGGAGGAGGGCCTGGCCACCGGCGGCCTGGGCTCTGTCCCTGCGTGCTCTCTTCCCCTCCCGAATCTCCCAGGAATCCTGATGTCACCCGAGGATGCTGGGAGGAACTATGAGCGACCTTTCCGTTAGAAAAAAAGCCCTCAATTCCACATCCAAGCGACCCAGGTTCGGGGTTGTTGACTTTGGTAAATTATTCCTGGGAAACTATTGCATTGGCCTGTTTAGTCTCCTTTTCTGTTACTTGAAGGACACTAGCATTAGAGGGCCCTAAATGGGGTCACAGATATAGGAAAAGACTAACCTCACCCCTAGCCTGGCTTTCTGACTTTGGGCTTTTATGAGGCTTGGAAGTGTGTGTACAAAGTTCCAAGTAGCTTGATTTAAAAGTACAGTATTCAGGGCTGGGGCTATAACTCAGTGGTAGAGCGCTTTCTTGTACATGTGAGGCACTGGGTTTGATCTCAACACCACATAAAATAAATAAATAAGGATATTGTGTCCATCTACTACAAAAATGAAACAAAAAATAAAGGATCCATTAAAAAAAAAAAAAGTACAGTATTTAAGTTTGCAGGACTTGCTGTACAAGACCAGAAAGTCTAAGGCCCCACCCACGTGCAGCATAAAGACAAATGACAAAAAGACTGCACGGGTCAATAAACCTGCAAGTGGTAAATGTCAGACATAAGGCAGAGTCCCAGCTTGGCGTCTGTGGGATTTAGCTTGCATTTGGCAGATACACATTGGGCAAGACAAGGAGTGTTTGTGACTCAAAGGGAGGGTAGCAAGTGTGAGGGGAAGAGACAAACTTCCCTCCCCCACTTTGCTTTTTATCTGTACATACTTCTCTCCCTCAAATAACCTCAGATAGTTGCTTTATATCAAAAACTGATTCCTTGAGACAGTGCCTAACATAACATGCAGGATGTGGTGCAGACCTGGATTCTCCAAATCAGGAAAACTCAAAATTAAATTAACCCCTCCCCCAACCCCTCAGGAACATTCCTTAGTTTTATAGACAGAATTGCCTGGTTTCATACCTTGATTCTGCTTTGGGTATTCTGTAGCAAGAATAGGACCCTAAAGTAGAGAAAACACATTCATTTAGAGGAATTCAGTATATGTCTTTGAAATATACTAGATTATCTAAAAAAACTTATATTTGTTTTCATGTGAATTGACCCTTTCCAAAAAAAATTGCTGAGCAAAATCTATACTCAAGGGAGATATTCCCCATTTCTCCCATAGTTTTGCAAACTATCACACCAGCAAACACCAAAAATTCACCTATCCTAGTAAAAAATGTGACAGGTAGAGATGTTACATTTTTTACTAGGATAGGTGAATTTTTGGTGTTTGCTGGTGTGATGTCCACTTGGGGTCTAGGTCCAAAACAAAGAGTTGAGCAAGACACACGGAAGTACCAGAAAAAGTACAGATTCATTGAAGGTGAAGGTGAGAGTAGCACTCCATAAGGTAGAGCAAAGTAGGTGAGCAAGAAAGAGAAGCTTACAGCCCTGATATCTGGAAATTAGTGACTTATATACTGAGGTGTGAGGTGTTCTCTTCCCTTTAGGAACCTGATGGAAGATCTTACCCCATTTGCTCCCACTGGTTATTTTAGAACACCAAACTTGTGGCAGGAGTTATCATGGGCAATTAGTCTTCAGTGGTGGGAGTTGTCATGGTAATGGGATATCATAAACACAGATATGATGACTCATCTCCTGTCTTGTCCTTCAGTGGCATTTTTCTTGTACCCTGCCTCAGCCATCTTGGCATCCCTGAACTCCTAACAGAAATCACCAAAATAAAACCAATATTATTAAGGCCTGAAAATAAAATATTTATAAGATATTAAGAGAACATAGTTAAAAAATATTGAAGATCAGAGATGAAAACTGAAGTATATTTTTCTCGAAAATTTCTAAGACGGGTGGTGAGGCAGTTTATTAACCTGCCAGGGCTTTCATAACACAGAACCACAGAGTAGGTGACTTAAACAACAGAAATTTATTTCCTCACAGTTCTGGAGGTTGGAAGTACAAGATCAAGGGTTGATTTCTTCTGAGGCCTCTCTTCTTTGCTTGTGGAGTCATCTGTCTTCATGTCCAGGTGATGTTCTTCCCACATATGTGTTTGTGTCCAAATTTGCTATTCTTATGAGGACACCAGTTATGTCTGATTAGGACCCTACCAACCTCTTTTTTAACTTAATTACTTCTTTTTAAGACCCTATTTCCAAATACATCCACATTTTGAGCTACTGAGGTTTAAGACTTTACCATATGAATAGAGGGAGGAACAAAATTCAGTCCATAACAGAGAGAGACAGGGAAAGAGTTTTTTCTGGTTCCTTTGATTTAGAGGTAGGAAAGGAAATGTGTGATGGGAGTGGATGTTGTAATTTTCCCTGTGGCATTAGGGGAATATGAACAGTCAGCACAGGGGTTAGATAGCATGAGAAGGTTGATTACATTAGCTAGAAGGAAAGTTACAGGATATAGAATAGGGGCAATGGTCCTAATTGTGTTTTACTCTAACATATTAATTCTCAACCATAAGTGATTTTGCCCCCGAGGGGACATTGGACAATGTCTGGAGACACAGTTTGGTTGTCCTAACTGAACTTGTGCTGTTGGTATTTATTAAGTAGAGACCAGGTATGTTTCTCAACATCTAACAATGAACAGAATAGCCTTTCTCAACAAAGAATAATCTGGCTGAATATTTCAATATATTTGGTCTCCTGTATCCATATGTTCTGCACCTATACATTCAACCACCCTCTATTATATACTATGTATTTAGTTCTACAGTGTTTGTGTCTATACTGAACATCTATAGTCATTTTTTTCTTCTCATCATTCCCTAAAAGATATACCATAACAATAGCATAACATATCATTTTTATTATATTAGGTATTATAAGTCATCTAAAGATGATTTAGGGATGGGGTTTTATCTCAGCGGCAGAGTACTTGCCTAGTATGCTTGAGGCCCAAGTTTGCTCCCTAGCACTACAAAAAAAAAAAAAAAAAAAAAGGAAGAAAGAAAACTTAAAGGCTATGGGAGAATTATATAGGTATATGCAAATGCTTCCCCATATTGTACGAAAGACTTAAGAATCTGCAGATATTGATACCTATGGAGCGGTGGAAGGCATATCCTGGAATCAGTCTCCTTTGTATTTCGAACTTGGATTTTAACTCTATAGGAGTCCTAGAACAGAGGCCCAACTCTCAGGGGTCCAAGCAAGTTTGGGTCTAGTCATTCAACCCAAAAACCAAATGGTGAAACCAAATGGGAAAGGGCAGGAAAGGAATATTAATCAGTAGAGCTAACAAGGAAGTTGAAGGAGACCAACGTTTCCAGTGCTGTCTTCAGTGGTACTGGCATGATCTCCTAGGTTATCCAGAAAAGGGGCAGGAAAAGCATGCACAGTCATGCACATATCAAGCCTAGTTGATCATTTTCTTACGATTGGTCATAAGGAGACTTGTTGCTATTACATGGTGGGCAATTTGGGCACACCACAAGATTTTATCCATCAGACACATTGTTCCTGGAATCCAAGATGACTGACTCATAGCAAAAGAGACAGATGTAAACTGGAGGCAGAGATGCCATTTTCTTCTATATGTACAGGTCCAAGTAAAAAGTTAGTATTTTCAGCAAAAGCAATCTTGAAATCCTTGTGTACAGTCATGCATCCACTACCACCCTCAAGATACTGAACAGTTCCAATACCACAAGGATGCCTCATGTTTCTCTTTTATAACCACTCCACTCTCTCTTGCCCATCTCTAGTCTCTGAAACTACCAATCTGCTCTCTAAGATTTTTCCACTCAAGCTCCCTGGAGATTCACCCAACTTCTATGTATTGACATTTGGTTCACTTTTACTGTTGAGTATATTCCACCGCATGGATGTCAATTTTTTTTTTTAACCACTCACACATTGAAGAATTTCTGGGCTGTTTCCAGTTTGGAACTGCCATAAATAAAGCTGACATAAACATTCATGTACAGATTTTTGTATGAATGAAAGTTTCATTCTGAAGCATGATACCCACTATGACTTGAATCACACAAAATGGGATGTTGTATATGTACACACTTGATCTGGAGGTGACACATCCTGCTTGGGATTGGATGACTTTGTTCTTTGCGTGTGTTTGTTTGTTTATTTGTTTCCTGTAATGTACATATTAATGTTTAAAAAAATAAACCCTATTTTAAAAGCCTGGGGGAAAAAAAGAAAGATTCATTTTGCCCCATAGTAGAATCACATAGTAATTTTTTTAAAACTGATAAAGCATTCCTTTGCAAGGATTTTATAAATATAAAATTCCCTGAATTAAATTCCATTCTGCTTGAAATACCTATAGCAGTCTCTGTGTCCAGCACTAAATTCTGACTGACATGGTGATATAGGTAAGACTGGACTGCAGATTCAGTGCCCATAATTAAGACTGAAAGATTAATGAAATGGCCACAGCATGTGAGTGTGATTGAGAAAGAAGGGTTGGAGCAAGAGAAATTATACAGGAGGAGAGTATAGACTATTTCCTTTTTACTTTCCTTCCACTTCAGAATTTACACCAGTTTTCCAGTTTAGGAAATAAGTAGGATTGAAGCACTGGATTTTTAAATGAACTCTTACAAAATCTAATTTTGTTGGACATGAAACAGTGTGGAAAACTGGTTTTTCACTGGAAAAAAATTACTTTGCATGGATCTTCTTTCTAAGAATATATAGCAGAAGCAACAGGGTTTTACACACAGAATTGAAAGACAGCAAGATATTCCTAGGGTC